ACAAAATATTAGCCTATAATCTTCAAAAGTACTAAGGAAATAAACTGAAGAAAAGACTAAAAAACTGTTCAAGATTAAAGGAGACTAAACAGACATCCCAACTAAATCCATAATGCTGAACTATATACCCTTTTGCTTTAAAGGTCTTTAGTGGGAAAAGCGATAAAATTTGAGTGGTGTCTGAAAAATCCATGGTAATAATATTTCACTTTTTTTTTTTTTTTATCCTCACCCGAGGATATTTTTCCATTTGTTGTACAGATAGAGTGGGAGGGAGGGAGAGGAAGGGAGAGAGAGAGAGAGAGAAACATCGACGTGAAGGGACACATCGAGTGGCTGCCACCCGCACGACCAACCAGGGCCGGGGACAAACTGCAACTGAAGTACGTGCCCTTAGCGGGAACCGAACCCGGGTCTCTCCGGACCGCAGGCCGATGCTCTAACCGCTGAGCCAAACTGGCCAGGGCTAATATTTCACTTTTAATTTCCTGATTTGTGAGGGCTATCTTGTGGTTATGTAAGAAAAAGCCCCCTTTGCCCTGGCTGGTTTTGCTCAGTGCTTAGAGAGTTGGCCCGAGGTACGAAGGGTCACAGGTTTGATTCCAGTCAAGGGCATGTACCTGGGTTGCAGGTTCGATCACCAGCCCCAGTCCGGGTTCAACCAGGAGGTAACCAATTGAATTGTCTCACATTGATGTTTCTCTCTCTCTCTCTCTCTCTCTCTCTCTCTCTCTACCCCTCCCTCCCGCCCTTCCTTCCACTCTCTCTAAAAATCAATGAAAAAATATCCTCAGGTGAGGATTAACAACAAAAAATGCCCCTGTTCACAAGAAATACACAAAATATTATAGTGTGAAATAGCCTCATGGTGACAATATACTATCAAATGCTTCAGTTAGAAAAAGGTCTTTGCCCTGGCCAGTTTGGCTCAGTGGTTGGAGTATCGAACTCAGCAGCTGGAGCATCGGACAGCAGACCAAAGAATCTCGGGTTCCATTCCGGTCAAGGGCACGTACCTTGGCTGCAGTTCTGGCTGTGGTTCAGTTCCCCGCCTTGGTCCGGGTCGTGAGGGAGGCAACCAATATGTGCCTCTCTCACATTGATGTTTCTCTCTCTCTCTCTCTCTCCTTCCTTCTCCCACTCTATCTGGAGATAAATGGAAAAGTGTCCTCGGGTGAGGATTAAAAAAAAAAAAGATCTATTGTACTTACAATTGTTCTGTAAGATTGAGACTGTTTCAAAACAAAGTGGAATAAAATGAATCATGCAAGTACAACACTCAGAGTAGTGTTAAGCACATAATACTCACTAACTAGCTATTATCAGTAACATTATTGCCATTGTCGGTCCAGGAGAAATTAAATGTAAGATCTTGCAAATGCCTCAATTTATGATTGCTACTAAATACAATAATAATAATCCTTAAGCCTCATTATTACTTTAAAACAAAAAAGCTCCTCCCTGGAAGAAGAAAAGTAGAGAGGGTACAGCTGATTGCAAGTGATCAAGAACATTCTCTCCTGGGTAAGACAGAAGATTAGATCTGAACCCTCAACTTGATTTCCACCTGATTACTAAGAGAAGATTCATGCTAAAAAAAAATAAAGAACCAAGAATATAATCAGATGTTTCATGCTACAGACCCAAGAAAGACAGTATTGGGGGAGAGGGGAGAAAGAAGAAAATGAGAAAATATATCAGTGATCATTAACATAAAATGCTACACTTTAAATTATGTTTCTTTCCTTTTTTTTTTTTCTTTTTTCTTTTTGTGGTACGTGCCCCTAGTGGGAAACGAACCCAGGACTCTCTGGTCCGCAGGCCGACGCTCAACCACTGTGCCAAACTGGTTCAAACAAAAATTATATGTTTCCTTCGCTATCCTTAAATGTACTTTGGGGACCTAAATAACTCTTTTTAGCAAAGGAAAACAAATGGATTGGTCTTTGGGAAAGTTCATGCTTCATAATTTAAAGATAAAGGCATCTCCTCTCAAATGGCCACTCTAGTTTTTCTTTTGGGGACTCCAATTCACCATTACTTCCCCTCCTAGCTCACTGGACTGAGTCAGAATATTCTAACTATATAAGTAAATTTGGAATGAATCTTGTGCACATAGCAAAACTGAACATTCCCTGAGTGCAGAAATGTCAAAAAAAGAACCTCCAAAAGTGAAGCCCCATTACCTAAGGGTTCAAAGTTTAGGCCAGCATTATATTCAAGCCTCTCTCATTTGTCAGCCCCTTATAGCTTGTATCTTACTTGAAGCTAGAAACATCTGCCCCCAATTTATTTTTCCCCAATTAAGTGTTGTTCCTTCAACATCATGGCTAGCAAAAATACAGTGTCACAATCTCTTAGCTAAGATCCTCAGGTAGAGGTTTTTCAGAATTCAGAACTTTTTGGATTTAGAAAGGTACTACAGTTAATGTAACACCCGATAGATAGTATCTGAAGAATGATCACTACTCTTTTCTGCACAAGTTGTATAAACTCACACACAGTGAACAAAATTAAAAATTAAATAGCCTCATATAGGTTCACGTTAAGTGGGGCCATCAAATGAGTGTCAGCACCTAACGTAACATGAAAATCTTTTGATTTTTTTCAGTGTTCAGATTTCAGAAGTAAAGAGAAGAGATTGTGCATCGCTCAAATTTTAAAGGCAGTGACAAGTCTGTTTCCCCCTATTACACGTGTTCAACAAACTAATACTATTAAACCCAAAAGTTCTGTACAACCAGGTCCATGACAAGACACAACATTCAGAAATATAATAACCAGGTTAGGGGCAACTATAAAAAGGCGGCCAAACATTGGGGTTTGCAGTGAGTGGAACTAGCATGGAATCGTGGGTGCTGTGGTGCTGTGTGCTGACTTGCAGTGAGTGCCTTATGCAATAAATGTGAAAAAAAATTCCAAACTTTCAATGCTGGCTAATGTGCTAAATAAGTTGTGGAAAATTACACTAATCAACTTTTAACTACTATAAAAAAATCTGCTTTGAGAAATATTAATTCTATCTTGAGATTCTGTTTCAACTGCTTACTTAGAGCAAAGTTCCCGCATTATTTAAGGGGAGGAGAATAGTCATCAACGTTTGCAGTCAAAGAATCACCATTCTTTACCTTCCAGTGGTCTTACCCATGCATGCACTACCTCCCCCAGAACTGTTACCACAGTTTGACAGTTCCTCTCTAACGGACTCAGGGCACTCACTGCAAGTCAGCACACAGCACCACTGCAGCCACAATTACATGCTAGTTCCACTCCTTCAAATGGGGACTAAACAGCTCACCACACAGTCCCATTCTTCACAAACTTGAAAAAACACAGAAATAGAGGTATCAGAGGAAAGTTCTACAAGGATACACACCCTGAGCATTGTAAAGATTGGGCCGTGCATCATCAGGTGGAGAAAGCATAGTTTTTCTATAGTCTGTTAAATTACATACACTCTCTTGATCATTTGAGCAGCTACGGGAACTGTACACCCAACCCTGGGCTCAGAGGTCTAAAAGTTCAGGGTGAAATAGGGCAGTGCATCACACTGGCTCCACAGATGCAAATTTTTACTCACTTTGTGAGAAGTTTGAGATCTGCCACATTCAAATATTTGTTCACTTCAATTTATCCAACACCCCTATAGCACTTACAATAAACCAAGCACAAGATGGACATGGGGAACACAAGAACAGAGATGAAAAAATTGTGGCTAGGAAGTCAAAGCACTAACAGAAGTGACTCAGGAAGCAGGGCCTATAAGTACATTTTACAGGCCTTGTGTTGTTTTTCCAGGTGAAAGACAAAGAATATCCTGCTGCATACCTAACCCGTATTTTAAAACAGATGGGAAGTATCACTCTGAATGACTGCCAGCAATGCACAATGAGTCTCTAGCTTACACAGCTAAGTTTCATACCTCTTTTAATAAACATTCAGCAAAAACAGATGCAAAACAAAACTAGTAAAACATAATTAGGTTGGTTGTGATCAATCTAAGAGCTAAACATAAAACACAAAAGTGATTTAGTCAATTCACTGATACAATCTAGCTTGTGCAGTGTGACAGCTATATATCAAATAGTTAAATAAACATGACATCACTGAAATAACAGACTCCTTTGTATCTAAACAGAAATCCAAGTTCAACTGTTCCACACTTCATCTAGGCAACAGGAAGACATGACCAGGCAGTCAATAAATGCATATGTAAAATAAACAATTCAAAATATAAGACACTTTTGAAATATTACCATTGGTCAGCTTCATCATTGGAACAGGGTAAACTTCAGAAAAGAAAAGAAAAGTTCAAATTCACCGTATTCTAAAGAAAAAGGTAAGCAAAATAGGTGACCATTACACTATTACTATAGCTGTTGTCTAGTCTATCTATAGAGACACTAATATATGTGCCCTGACAGAGCTTCGTGCAGTCTCTTACACCCACAACAAAGAATACGGTGCCTTTTATTGACCCTAGGTTGACTGAATTAACGGCAACATTCTAAATTTTACATATAATTTCTCAGCATCCTCTAGGAAAAGGTTCTTCCTAAAACAATTACCCATCTTGGTATTACACTTAATGTTCTTCTTTCACTAACTTCCATGAGCCAAGCATCTTTTATTTCTTTCTAAATCCTTATATTTGTAGAACTTTCCATAAGGTCCTAGTGTTTTCAATATGATATCATGAAAAGTGTGACAGAAAGTACATTAGGGTAATAATCTACCCATTCATAGTAAGTTCAAACTAAACATGTCTTTATCTTCCCCTACCTAAACCCAAATTTTCTCACATTCCCTTTTCTTAATATGAAGACGCCAAAGACATTTATTACAACTCCTTCCAAAGAGGTTTGCTATAGGATTCTGGAGTCTTTTTTTTTTTTTTTTTTTTTAAATCTTACTAGTATATACCCAGATGTGCACACACTTACACACACACACGAGAAAAACAGAAGTTCTCACTGAGTGGGCCCAAATGACTCACTTACCTTGTCTCAGGGTTATAGCCTAGTATGTAGAAAAATGAATCCACTCGGGCTTTAAACTCTCTAGCAGCAAATATGTCAGAAAAATGGGAGATGTTACACTTCCCTCTGAAAATAAGTAAACAAACAAAAATACATTAGCAATACTCTTAACTGCTTTGCAAACCAAAATACTATTGGAGGGGTAGGGGTGGGTGAAGATATAACTAAATCCACATTACTCTAAGAACACACAGAATATAGCTACACACTCTGTAATTATCCATTCAGAAAATCGGGAGGTCCCAAAAGAAGAAAATGTCCAATATTATATATATATTTTTTTATTTCATGACTGCTTCAACCTACAACTTTATAACTTAATTGCTTTTATCTCAACACTTTCATCATAGAGTAAAATTAAACCACAAAGATAAACTGAGGGCAGAATTGTGATGAAAGAATATTAAGCTAGAAATGATGGGGGGGAATGAAAACCACAGTTAAATTATGAAAATATCCCTCTAAAGCCCTTCTACAACATCAAAGCAAAAGGGGTCCCTTCGTCCTGCTACCTTACACAGGCAGAATGAATAACTGTTAAATATATTTTCTCTTTTAACATACAAGAAATAAACTGACCTGAAAACTGAAACAGCAATTAATTAACTTTTTAAATATATGAATGGGTTCTAATTTACAAACAAAAACTTCCCAAATGTTTAAGTAACATAGAATGACTGTAAGCTGGAAAACACTTTCCCATGGAAATACTGCAATGAGGAGTACTGAGGCTTCCAGGTCCATCTACCAACAAAGTTAAACCAAAATAGAGCTGAAAATCCTCCAGTACTGCAGAGGTCCTCAAGCTGGGTTTCCACGTACCAAATGTGAGCATCAGAGACATTATGCCATACAGTAGGGCCCACCTACCCACACCACACACACACAAACGTGTGTGTATATGTGCATACATAGATATAGATACATACATATACATGTATGTATATGTATAACTCCCTCAGTGGTCACATAAGGTAAGTGGAAGCTAAAGACTATGATTAAAGTTGATGGAATGGGAGGACCAAAAGCTCATCAAGACTGCTCCAGGATGCTTCCAGGGGTGTGATCTCCCACTACCTGAATAGGCATTCCATTTCCAGGGGAATCCATGAGTTGGATGTTAAAAACATACATACCAAAGTGTTAGTGAAAGAAACTGGCTGAGATGCCAGTTTGGCTGAGCAGTTAGAGCATCAGCCCTCAGACCAAAGGGTCATGGGTTCAATTCCAGTCAAGGGCACGTACCTGGGTAGCAGGTTCAATCCTTGCTCCGGTCAGGGTCATGCGGGAGGCAACGGATCGATGTGTCTCTCATCAATGTTTCTTTCTCTCTCCCTCCCTTCCACTCTGTCTAAAGATCAATGGAAAAATATCCTTGGGTGAGGATTAACAATAACAAAAAAGAAAGAAAATGGCTGAGCGTCCAGCTGGTGTGGCTCAGTGGTTGAGCACCGACCCATGCACCAAGAGGTTGCCAGTTCAATTCCTGGTCAGGACACATGCCCAGGTCTTGGGCCCAATCCCCAATGGGGGTCATGCAGGACAATGCCAGTCAATATTCTCTCTCATCGATGTTTCTCTCTCTCTCCCCCTCTCACTTCTTCTCTCTCTAAAAATCAATAAAGAAAAAAATTTTTAAAAAAGAAAATTGCTGAGAAATATCCGTGTAGGAATGGCCATTCATTCACTTCCCACCAATGGAAAAGCAATGTCCTCCTTCCCCACAGGGCTTAAGTAACTATGACCAAATCCTCAGTAATGGGCAGAAGCCAAGATGGGCTCAAAAATTTCCATTTTTAAAATTAAGTAAAAATTCTATTGATTTACTAAAGTTCCTTTGGAAACTACTAATTAGAAGATAATGCAGGGCTATTGAGCACTTGAAATGCAGGTGGTACAACAGAAGAGAAATAAGTTTTAAATTTTATTTTATGTGACTAATGCCAACCATACTGAACAACACAGATTTATATATTTCCATCATTGCAGAAAGGTCTATTGGGAGCATTATTTTGTAGGTGTAACAAATTACACCTAGAAAAAGAAAATATGGTACAGCCAGTATGGTTCAGTGGTTGAGCGTTGACCCATGCACTAAGAAGTCACCGGTTTAATTCCCGGTCAGGGCGCATGCCCTGGTTGTGGGCCCAGTCCCCTGTGGGGAACATGCAGGAGGCAGCCAAACAATGTTCTCTCTTATCGATTTTTTTCTCTTTCCCTTTCCCTTCTTCTCTCACTAAAAGCAACTAAGAAAAAAAATTAAAAAAAAAAAAAAAAAGAAAATATGGACTAGGTAGCAACTCTCAGGCCCAGGATCTATATCTCCAGTATTTAGCTGGAATTAAGACAAAGTGGGTACCCAGCCAGAATAGCTCAGTTGGTTGTCCTGTGCACTGATAGGTCACCGGTTAGATTCCGGTCAGGGCACCAAAAAATATAAAATAAAATAAAAAAGAAAGGAAAAAAAATCAATGTTCTCTCTCATTGAGGTCTCTCTCTCTCTCTCTCTCTCTCTCTTCCTTTCCCTTCCTCTCTCTAAAATAAAGAAAAAAATTTTAAGTAAAATAAAAAAAAGATCACTTTTACATATAAAGAATGTACTCACTCTGCAACTTACTACCCATCTATCTGAAGCGATTTAATCCCTGAAGACAAAAAGAAATAGCTAAGCTTCCTCATCAGATAAATAGGGACAAAAATACCTATTGTACCTATCAGTAAAGTATTAAGAGCAAATAAGAAGTCTATGAAAAAGTCCATGAAACTCTGTATACTTCAGTGCTACGTAAAACAAGTTATTTTCACCATCATTGTCCATGAATTACTAAAAAAAAGTAATTCTTCTTTTATTATTCTTTGTTATTTCTCAAATTTAAGTTTACCCTTAAACTTAAATAACTAATTAATGTCTTAATTAAAAATATAAAAACCCTACCCACCCTCAATTCTAAACACAGGCATTAGAAATCAAATATGTTTCAGACAGGGTTTCTCAGCCTGGGCGCTATGGACATTTTTTTTTTTATCCTCACCCAAGGACATTTTTTTTTTTCCATTTTTTGTTCAGATAGAGCGGGAGGGAGTGAGGGGAAGAGAGAGAAACATCGATGTGAAAGGGACACATCGAGTGGCTGCCACCCACACGACCAACCAGGGCCAGGGACAAACTGCAACCAAGGTACGCGCCCTTATCGGGAACCGAACCTGGGTCTCTCTGGACCGCAGGCCGACGCTCTAACCGCTGAACCAAACCGGCCAGGGCGCTGTTGACATTTTGTCACCAGGGACTCTCTTATACTTAGCAGCATTCCTGGCTTCTACCCAACAGCACCCCCACAGACATCACTGTGACAATCAAAAATATCTAAAGAGATTGCCAAATGTTCCCTGGGGAGGGCACCCCAACTGGTTTAGGGAAGACAAAAGCAGAAGTAGAAGGATATTGCCCTGGCAAGATTGGCTCAGTGGTTAGAGCGTCGGCCTGCAGACCAGAGAGTCCCGTGTTCGGTTTCCGCTAAGGGCACGTACCTCGGTTGCAGTTTGTCCCCGGCCCTGGTTGGGGTCGTGTGGATGGCAACCAGGATGTGTTTCTCTCACATCGATGTTTCTCTCTCTCTCTCTCTTCCCCCTTCTCTACCTCCTGCCCTATCTGAAGATAAATAAAAAAAAATGTCCTCAGATAAGAATGAAAAAAAAAAAAAAGTAGAAGGATATCAACTGATAAATGATCATGAAGCTATAATAAATGGGATTTTATCCACCACTAATTATATGTCCTCTATTTGCTTCCCATTTAATTATATGAAGGGCATTGATTTTTTATATGCTATTTTTACAGCCTGCTAATCAACTGAATTCTTCAGTATTTGATATAGTTTAATCGTTGAAACTCTGAGACTTTCCAGATATGCTGTTATTTGCAAATAAACATAGTATTACTTCTTCTTTACCCTTTCTTAAGCCTCTAATTGCACTGTACTTCTAATACAATGTGGAAATAGTGGGCATCCTTGCCTGGTTCCTGATCCGAGTGGAAATGTCTCTCAGGTGTTCCCATTAAATATTCTAGAGCTTTAGAAATGATATCATAATCATAGCCTTTATTTTATTTTTATTATTTATTTTTGTTACAGATGTTTCTCCTTTTTCCCACACAGACACCCTCCTCCCTATCCTCCAACCCCCCCACCCCAAGCATTGTTGTTTATGTCCATTGGTTACGTATACGTGCATATAAGTTCTTTGGTTTATCTCGGTCCCTTCCCTCCTGCCCCCTTCTCTGAGGTCTGCCAGTTTGAACCATACTTCTTTCTATGTCTCTGGGTCTGTTTTGTTATCAGCTTTTTTTGTTTATTATATTCCACAAATAAGTGAGATCATGTGGTATTTGTCTTTCTCTCATTGGCTTATTTCACTTAGCATAGTATCTCCGGGTTCCTCCACGTCACCTCAAAGGATAAAAGATCTTTCTCTCTTACAGCTGCATAGTGTTCCATTATGTATATGTACCACAGCTTTTTATCCACTCATCTATTGATGGACACTTGGGTTGTTTCCAGATCTTAGCAATTATAAATAGTGCTGCTATGAACATAGAGTATAGTCTTTCTGATTGGTGTTTCAGACTTTTTAGGATATAGTCCTAGAAGTGGGATCACTGAATCAACTGGCAGTTCAATTTTTAATTTTTTAAGGAAACTCCATATTGTTTTCCATAGTGGCTGCACCAGTCTGCATTCCCACTGGCAGTGGACTAGAGTCCCCTTTTCTCCACACCCTCGCCAGTACTTGATTTGCTGATGGCATTCAATGTTTTTCCAGAGCCCCTTTACATCATGCTCTCTATGAAAAGCAGTACATCACTGACAGTGCTTGTGGAATGCAGGAAGAAGACTGGTTTCAGAGACCCCGAAGGTCCTATAAACCCTATTTCTTTTTTTGTACATGCCCCTAGAGGGAATCGAACCTGGGACTCTTGGTCCACAGGCCGATGCTCCAACCGCTGAGCCAAACCGGCCAGAGCGAAACCCTATTTCTAAAGTGACACTTCACTGTTAACAGAAACA